TTTGCTAACACTTATTTTGAAATGATGTCTAACAGTGAAAAATGTTACAGAACTTAGCTTGTTAAATTCGTCAAACAGGACTGTACAGTTCTTGCAAATCCTGATGCGCTCATACGCACACCATTGTTTGCATTATGCCATTATAGTCTGCTCACAGACATTGTGTTCGAGACAATGTAACATTATCAACCTCAGCATATTTGCATATTCTATGTGTTGCTCTGACTAGCTGCAGCGGTCTCTTTAGCTTTATCATTAGCTCGTCAGAATGGGTAGCTTTCATCGCTCCGACTTCCAACTGTTTGGCATGGAAACGTACCGCTTTAACATCCAAAGACTAAAATGTTTTTCAAGGTTTGATTGATGTAAACATGGTTTCTTTTTGGTGAGTTTTTGTTTTAAACTTGCGTACATTTATATTTTTATTTTCAAACATGAATGTCTGCACAAAACATCAAAAATAAAGCTGCTTTACTGAGCACCTGTGTCAATGGCTGCATCTTAGGGATGACATTAATTTTCTTTTCAATGCCACACCAAGGTTAATAACCCAATACCAATACTGATCTTTTTTTTGCACATATGAAAAGGGGAAAAGTTTGATTTCTACAGTGAAAACCACTAAAAAATGTGTTTAGTGAAATAACTCCAAATGACAGAGCATTCATGGGGCTTTGTGTGCAGCAGAAGGTAAACAAATTTAGTATCAACATTTTCATCTGAGGATCAATCTTCAAAAAAGAAAAGTCAGGATCAGAAGTATCGATAGTTCAGTACTGATCCATCCCCCTCTAGCGCACCTTAAAGGGGAACTCTACTGAGTTTTCAGAAATTCTGCATAATTAAATGGTTGAGACGTGAACAAAGTCATTCAGAACTGTGAAATGCTCCATTCCAGAGAAACATGACAAGTCAGAACTGTTCACAGGGGTGGTGACAGGAACCAGACGCCCACCTCTGAAAGCTCCCTCACTTAAAGTTATTACATAATATACGCTGTCTGATGTCTGACACACTGTCTTGCGATAGTTTTGTGATTGAGTTTTGGCTTAAACTGTATTCAAATCCATTTATTTTAATACCGTCATGGCGAAGCAATATACACAGGGCGTTGTAAGGCAAAGCAGTCCCCAGAGAAAACATAGGCTGTTTTTTTCAGATTTGTTACCATCATCAACATTACATATAAAAGCCCTCTAGACACATGTAACTTCACTGAATAAATAAAACGGCTCAACAGAGTTGGTAAGTTTCTCTCCATTTCATGTCAAACCTCTCTGAATGATCCTGTTCACATCTCAAGGGCTGATTTATTCAAAAAATTTTGGAAATTCAGAAAAAATGGTGGCATTCCTCTTTAAAGCAGACGAATACACCAAGCAGAAAAGCTGTCCACAAACTTTTGGACGTGTAGACTGTCAGAAAGACAAACCTCTATCTGAATTTATCTTTCTCCCCTGTTTAAAAGGGCAAGCGAAGCCCACTGCTGTACTAAACACACTCCAGGATCTGCTCTGGTCCACAAGATGCACCTGCGCTGCACCATGTGATGATGAGCTGGAAGCTCAGGTGAAAGAGGACCAGCGCAGCACACATCTGCCTCCCACCTGACACGCAGCTCTGCTGCCTTTATAAAGCTCCGACAACTTCTATGAACTTGTCACACAGGTAGATTAAACCCTTAAAAAAGGACGTTTTATTGTAGAGAGGCAGTGTTTGGAGATTTGAGTTAAGTTAGCACAGTGGCCATCTCCTAACTCGTAGCCAGAGACACAGCCATCTGAATTTACATACTGAAAACATTAGGGTTAGACTTAATAACATGGTAACTGAACGTCCATAACGGGTTTATAACTGAAGGAGGCCGTTAGATTATTTACAGCGAGCGAGTCGAACAAAAGCGAGCAGTAGAAACCTTACCTAGGTTAGAAACGGCCTTGTTTAAGATTAGCTAGCGAACGGGCTAAAATATTCAGCCGACTGCGACCCAGTTTTATTCTCATTCCCAAAACAAAACGGCTCGAATAACGGGCGAACGACAAAACGACGGTTTTCCACAGCACCGAAGAGCCCAGAGTCAATACTGACGCGAACGCCTCGAAACGAAGTTTGTGTTTTTAGCATGTCCGCTAGCCGAACCGGGCTGCATAGTTTTGCATAGCAGTGTCCGTTTCTGTGCGTGAGCAGAATAAAACAGGCTTGTAACGCGCTTTGGCATTTACTACTCGGCCTTATTTACCTCAGAAGTGTTGGAAAAACAGAACAGTTGTAGATGTGACATACCGTTTTTACGGTGCATCGCCGAAGAAGCAGCTAGGTAGCTAGCCAGAGCTCCAGCAGCAGCAGCAGCAGCAGCCCACCGCAACTCTCCACTCCTGCTGCCCCTCCTCACTGTAGGACTGCCAAGATTTGGCCAGCCACCTGCCGGGCACTGAGGCTCACAGACACACACAGAAAGAAACGGAACAGACCACACACCTCTTCGTGCCAAACTAATACTGAAACTCTAATATATAATACGATGTGCAGATAATACGTTTGTAGGCAGGTCTGCTCCAACCTCTGTGTGTGTCACTGTTTATATACTGCAGTACTACGCCGTGTGTGTGATGTTACAGTCGCAGCGACCAAATCATTCTTCATACTTAAGGGGAATTCCACCGAAGTTTCACAATTTCTGTTTTTTCTTTCACAACCAATTCTTTAAGATGTGGACAAAGTAATCCAGAGTGGTTTGATGCGAGACGGTTCACTGTAGAGAATCTTACTGACTCATTTCTTAACAGTGGTGGTGACAGGAACCAGGGGTCGCCATGTCTGCAGCACGAAGATAGCCATTTTATTTACTCTTTAAAACCACCAGTGAACCTAAACGTGTCCTCTGAGGTTTTATGTGTAATGTTTACGATGGTAAAATAGTCTGTGTTTTGCTGTGTAACATACTCTGTGTGTATTACTGCACTGTACAGTTGCAGTAACAAATATAATTCTTCATATTTAAAGGGGAATTCCACTGATTTTCTTTCACAATTTCTTCAAGTTTAAGATATGAACAAAGTGATTCAGAGTAGTTTGATGCGGGATGCTTCATTGTAGAGAAACCTACTGTCAGAATTGTTCACAGTGGTGGTGACAGAAACCAGACATCCAATGCATTTACTACCTCTACAGCTACCTCTCAGAAATATGAAATGGTTGTATGCTGCTTGATGCCCGAGACAAAGTTTTATGATACCTTTGTGATCAGACTTTGGCCTAAAACATAATTTTTAATGCACAATCATGATGGACAGGTACAGGCATGGCATCGTAAGGCAAAGAAAACAATGTTGATTTTCTTCTATTTTACCAAAATTAACATAAAAACATAAAAAGAATACATGTGTAGGTTCGTTGGTGTAGACGCATTGTAGACATTGTGACCCTTGGTTCCCATCAGACTCGTGCTTTATGTGACTAACCTTCATTAAACAAAGCAATAATGTACCACAGTGCACTTGCAGTTTCAAAAGCACTGCTATGTTTTTAAGAATTAAATCAGTTTAAATGTACTTAGTAAAAGTGCCAAATAATATATTATATGCAAATAGAAAATACATCATATGCAAGCATTAGATATATAATGTTTGCATATTAAGAATTTTCTATCGTTGTGGGTTAGCCGCATAGGCACTGTTGAAGCAACGGTTTATACAGTGATCTACTGTAGTACATTTGAGATGACAAAGGTATGTTCAACTGTTTGACTATAGTGAATTACAGTGTTACAGTTAATTATGCTTAGTTATATCCAGCTCACATGCTACCATAGAGGAGACGAGGGTGCTATTTGCAATGAAGCTGCCCGTATTTAAGGGCCTTGAGAAAAAAGAGAAAAGCTGCAGTGCTCTCTCTCTCTCTCCCATGACCTGGACCTGAAACCTCTGATGTCACCCATGATGTAGTTATGGAGCCGTAAACCATTATACTCAGCATTTATCAGAAATCCTCCATGTGGGTTGGCCTATACTATCATGTCTAACTACAAAGCCTACAGAACTTATTACAGTGTTACAATGTCTTTGACAAGGTTATCATTGACCCATAACAACAGTACTTGTGGTTTACATATGCTTGGCTATGTTTAGATTTTATAACAGAAAACAAAAGGTAAATTCAGGACAGATCAGTCAAGAAATTGAATTTTAGACATTACTGACCCCATCTTTCTAAATAATGCATTCAAAACCACTATATCTAGAGAAATGATCTAAAATGAATATAAATAATAAATAAATATGTTGTTCAATGTCATATTTTTATATGCAAAACAACATAATGACCATTACTGCATTACATCTTGTTTATTTGTAGGCCTTTAAGGAACAATTGTATATATAAAGCAGCCATAATTCATTTTTACTTGGCATTTTCCACTCTCCTTATCCTTTAGAATTAAACTGGCTGTTTTTATTACCTGGCCTTTAAGGTTGATAAATGTAAATGAGCTGTGTTCTGACTGGCTGTCTTGTATTGTGCCTTGTTTAAAAGGCAGTCCAGGCTAATACGCTCCTTATAACTTCAACATGAACTGAATCACAAAAACACTGAATTCTTAAATATTTTTGCAGGTTATTTTCTATATATGTGGACTGGACTAACTGTGTAGGGAACACTATGTTTTGAAACTTCAACATCGTTTACACACATCAACCTCTTTAATTTAAGACATTAGGAAAATTTATTTTTCCATGATATGGGCCTGTTACGTGGGGCCTTTTGTGCCCATGTGAGCCTGTGATGTGCATTATGAGGCAGCACATAAGAAGGAGAGACCAGAGGCTGCATCTGTGCTGTTAAGATAAGACACCAGTAGCGGTTTCTTGACTGGATAGAGAAGCTCTGACACCTTTTTTTATTCATTGTGAGGTGGTAGCATGGACAGAAAGAGAAAGAGGAACCAGAATAAGACAATGTCACATCTGGGGGGTAAATTACATTGAGTGCCATGGTTTATTTTGCATTTCAGCATTAATGCTGTTATGTATTTAGTTGTGACAATTACAATTCAAAAGTGTGGAACCACATTTTCAATAATACAAAACCAATTTATGTGAATGCATTAAATGCTTCACAGTTTTAAAATAATTTATAGGAAGCTAGGAAGCCATTAAAAAAGCGTTTGTTAAACAGAGCTATAAACATTTCTAAAATGACTGAGAAAGCATAGACAATGAATTCTGGATAAAATGATTATACATTATGCAGCATATTTGAAAAGTCGAGGCAGATAACTTGACAAAAAAGATTGTATGTATACAACTACAGTATATTAATTATCATTTAATAACTTCTTGGTGTTCCTTCAGTTTACTTCAGATATGATTGTATGTAAAAAACAGCATTTATTAATATGCCAAGTGATTCCAAACATTTAAACTGGTGTGTATCTATACAGTTGTTGGAATTCTCAGGTCATATGATATCGGAGGTGCTTCCAGAAACGGCCACTGGGCTGCACTGCAGGGCTCCACCTCAGCACCCCATTCCTTTGTATGATGGACTGGATGGACTCCGGCAACAGTGAGTAATCGGCATTCTCACCACTTTCAACCACAATTACTGGAACACCAGACTGAGCAATGACAGAATACAGGTCCCGGCAGTGTGAGGCATTATCTTGGCCTGCACTCAGTGGAATGTTGCTTTCTTCTTTACTGTGATTGGCTGGACTTGATCCTGGAAGGACGAGCAGCACCGTCCTGCTCTGGCCCACCACATCAGTCATGTTGGAAACATTTGCTGCATCCAAAACAGCATCTCAAGTCAGTCCTTACAGCATCTCACTGTGTGAGGCTCTTGTGAATATAGATACGCTTCTTATGGCTTAAGCTTCACTATGTGTGTTAAAGTGACAGTTTAGCAAAAAAATAAAATAAAAATTTACACAGTTTTCCCCATACTCCAAATGTTTTTGATCCACCATGTGTCCTGTTTTAATACTTTTTCTGACATTTCTTCGACTCACCACGCCGAAGAGCATCACACTATACAAATAGCCAACACAATGAGACTTGTGTGTTTGTTTATTTCAGAAGTTTGACCAGTGTACATAAATTTGCTGAAACTGTGGCTATAAGCTTTGGTTTAAAACCGTGATTAATTGCCTTTCTTATTATTGTTGCTGGTGGCATAGATTTGGGTTTGCATTATTTTTTCCATCGGATCTTTTACTTCCTACGTATTACTACTATTTAGAGCTGTTTGAGCCCTTTCCATTTAAAAAGGCTGTAGCTTTTGCTGGTCATCTCTCTCCGTAGGAGCCGAAACGTTCCTTTTACAAATGCACGTCTCCTCCTCAGTCCAACTCTACCTCTCTGCCATACCGTTCATGTCTGTTGTGAGAGGCATGTGAGGTAAAGCTATCACATAATTTAATGCATAAATGCATATTTTTCCAATGTAGGTTTTCACAACTTTTCAGGCAACAAATATTTTTTCCACTAAAATTAAATAGGAAAAGTTATCAACATTCAAAAAATATTACTGACAATTTACACTTCCTGCACTGAAAAACTTTTTGAGGAGTTAAAACATTTTCTTTAACAATCCTTTGAATGGAAACGTAGCTACAGATGCTCACTTAATCCCCTCCGAGGGCTCATCTAACAAATCTCATTAAGCTAATAAAACTGGCTTAGACCCCACATATATACTGGCTGATCAGTAAAATCTGGTGTACGGTGAAAACTGTGTGAGACAATTGTTGTAATGGCTAAATATCAAGCTAAACTTTCACTTACATAAATTACAGTGAAAATGAAGTACAGTACAGTCTCATTCTATGTTACACCATAAGCAACGTGCTGTATTACAGACACCACTGATGCTGAGTAAAAACTTTAACTGTTTTTATTGTCACTGCATATATCCTAATCTGAAATTGCATTGAACTCGTGCAATAGTCATGGCCTACCTTCTGTGCCAGCGTCATCACGGCTGTGTATGAACAGTTTGAGGTTGTGCTGCTGCTCCAGCACCTCAGGCATGATCCTCAGAGCCAAGTTCTTTGCCGTTGATGAACCAGCGTTGTCGTCATTGCAATAACACACATATGCATTGTATATCTTGCTCGCATGTGCAGCAGCTACAAAAAGTAACACATTACTCAATGAGTCATCAAGTTGGCATTAAACTGAAATTAAATTAGCTTGCCATCTGTCTGAACACAAAACCAAAAGTCATTTCATTTAATAAGACCAGGAATTTTTTTCCATCTCTAAGGAAAAATGACCCCATTGGAGATGTATATGTATTGTGTTATATGCTAAATTGTGTGCAAAAGTTTGAACACTCCTGGTTTGCTGATTTTCTAAGTGAAAATAAGTTAATACATCCTCTGTAGGGAACACGTTTAAATATGGCATTTCCCTGAACATTGTGGTGCACTTTATTTTAATGTAAAGGGTCCATACCCTACACTTTTTGTGAATTTTATGTGTATAGGCCAGCCCACATGGAGGATTTCTGATAAATGCTGATTATAGTGGTTTACGGCTCCATTACTACATCATGGGTGGCATCAGAGGTTTCAGGTCCAGGTCATGGGAGAGAGAGAGCACTGCAGCTTTTCTCTTTCTTCTCAAAGCCCTTATACTTTATTTTTTCATTTGTGTGGTTTTCTCTACCAAAAATGGCCACAATTCATTTTTACATGACCATTTATCAACCTACCTTTGTCCCAGAATGAAACAGGCTGGTTTTTTTTACTGTGTCTTTAAGAGCGAAATAAGTTAAATGAGCTTTGTTCTGCTTGGCTGCCCTTTTTTGTGCCTCATTCAAAAAGCACTCAGAGCTGAAACTCTCCTTAGAACTTAAGTATGTGTGGGAGGGGTTTAACTGTTGTAGGCTGTATAGGTGAATATATATGTAAATTGGTTTCCGTGACATCACAGAAACAGTTCATTCAAAATGGGCTGTTTTTGCTGCTTAGTTTCCATAAATGGACTGTATGGACTCTAGTTAATGGCTTGTTTATGAAACTTTGACAATGTTTTCATATTATTTGAAGAATATTTGGTTTTCCAAAATATGCATATGACAAAATTTTGGAATATATACTTAAACTATATATTCACACATGAACACTATGGTTAAACTATGGTTCATTTTTGCCAGCAATAACTGTGAGTCACTTACTTTTGCTTTTGCCGCACAGATGACGATAGGCTAAAATAATATCTATTTTGAAGAACATGAATAGCACAATGCCCACAACAATTATCAGCACCGGAGCAATAATCAGTAGTGTCTGGGTGGTACTTTGATCACCTATGGAAAGAAACGGCAGAAAAAAATAAGTTTTCCATTCCACACACCTCTTAATAAAGGCAGATTATATAAGTATATGCAATATAATCATATTTTCAAGTATGCATTTAACATCCTGCATCTTTAAACTTTTATACTCCTTTAAGATGTACTTGGATTTAACCCTTACCTTGGCTAAGCCACACCAGGCCCGTATCCGATCCCCTAGAGCTCAGAACAATGCATTTGAAAGGTACATCAAAAAACGTGGCATTAACTTCAGAAATGAACAGTGTAGATTTGTAATAAATTCGATCATCCTCCCTCATCTGACTGTTGATTGGGGAAAAAAGATAAATTAGTTTTTCACATTTTTCATACAAAACATGTATGTTACAATAATATGTTAATCCGTGTTCAAATCAGCAGAACAAAACAATCATGTCCCACGTAAAAGCAACTGTAAACTTAAGTCAAGCCATGCTGTCTTTGTATAAAGAAGCTGCTCACGAAGTAATGTTTTCCTGAAGCTGTGGAAATCCGTCAATGAATTCATCATTTACTGTCCAATATACAGACACATCTTCCTGGGCTTCGTCTCCTGAACCAATGAAAACAGTACACTCCAGCTTGGTTCTCATACCTATACAAAGCCAGAAATAGGGTAAGTAAATAGACCAAAACAGGGCTGAATAATTATATGTCGCTGGCAGACATTCAGTGATCACTTGCCTGGTTTGACATACAGAATCTCGTTACGGGGATGTATTACTTCAGGCTTCTCCACAGGCTCTGAGAAATATGAAAGCCACATATTTCATTCTAAAAGACAATGAGAATTAGGGCCTAGGCAATGTAGCGGCCTATCTTAGAGTTCCATAGATTTATTGGCATCAGTGGAAATCCTGCTGATAAAGAACCAATTGTGTCTCTTTAGATGTTATTTAGCTGTTTTAAGTTTTATGGTTTAAGTTAAGCTCATTAATATTAAGAATAAGTGTAACTAAATTATGAACTACAGGGCCAGAGGGAGGTGTGACAATAATATCATTCATAAGTAGCTTGTTTCATATTTGCATTATTTAGATTTAAGTCTCAGTTGTTTATTGAGTATTTAGTTGACTTTAGGAAATTTGATATTCGAGAACTGAACTGTCAATCATATTTGACAGCTGATAATCATATCAGTCAGTAAAGCCCTGTTTAACCAAACCTAGTGTAGTCTGTTTACATACTAATGTACTTACCAATACTATTACAATAATATTGTTATGTAATGTTGATGTTTGAGCTACAATTGTTATAACAGTTGAGGCCTAGTGACAATTTACTCTTACTCACAATTAGAGATGACATGATACAAGTCTTTCTCAGTAGCAATACAGATATGGAAACCAGATAGATAGATAGATAGATAGATAGATCGATAGATAGATATATAGATAGATAGATAGATAGATAGATAGATAGATATATAGATAGATAGATAGATAGATAGATAGATAGATAGATAGATAGATATTCTTCTGTTAACTCACCTTTCTTTAGCACTTTGAGCTGACGAGTGTGAGAGGTAGTGTAGTTTTCCCCTTCATATCTGAAGATGACCACACAAGTGTAGTTACCTGTGCTGTCCATTGATACGTCAAGACTAATTTCCTCGCCTTGCACTCCTGTAGATTCACAGTCCTGTAACAGGAGATATAAAAGGAAACCATTTGCTCAAGCATGTATCTCCCTGACATCTCTAACTATAGACGACATGAATCAGAAAACTCATTTTCCTTATGCATCGTGATGTGTTTCTGAGTGAAACCTGATATCAGATAACAAGTCTCTGCACTAGTTCAATGTTTTCACGCAATAATAAGTGGGAGGGATGGGAGGGAGAGGTTAACATGATATTACTGGTTAATATTACTTTTCCCTACCCACCCATGAACAGTACCAGTTTAAATTTGGACATACATACTTGTAGGCTTTTCTTATTTTTAAATAATAATAAGAATAATAATTTTCAGTGTTTAAAATTATAGTGAAGACATCAAAACGATGAAAAGTGATAAATAAATAAACACTTTTTATCTAAAGATTCTTCAAAGTCCATTTTAGGGGTGTAATTATGAACAGATTATCAGGTTTGATACAGTTTTTGATTTTGAGGTTAAGACTGGACTTGATTTTCAACATTTTGTGTTAAAATGACTTGAGAAAATCTACAGAGATGACAAATGAGAGACCCTCGTATGAGGCCGAGTGTATCAGTAATACGCCTATAAATTTCAGTGTTTTGAATATTCTTTTTCAGATTCTTTTGATATTCTGCTAAAATCATCTACACCTCTGTCCCTTCATGCTTTGCACTCTTGCTATTCTTTCAAGCAGCTTCATGAGGAGCCACCCGGGCTGTTTTGTAAACAGGTTTGAAAAAGTTGAGTACTGAAAACCACATGTTGGAGAGTTTAAGCCCAGACTTTAGATCAAAATGTCTATAAGATTATGAAAACCACACATTTATTCAGATGTGTTCAAAACATCTGACCAGTAACTGAAAGAGCTCAGTCAGTTTCATTAATTCATTTATTGCTATAAGTCACTGTGATATACCTTCCACCACTGCACTTGCAATGTCTGTCCCAGAGTCTCAATGGAATCTTCAGCGCAAGTCAGGTTGACGTGTTCTCCCTCCGTGACCTGTACGGGCGCCAGAGCTCTCGGACATTTTCCTTTTTCGACAGAGAGTAGCACTCTAGTTTCCACATGCGGCGTTTCTGGGCTGTGAGAAAATTATGAATTTACAGTAATTTCAGATAAATGTTTGGTCTAAAACCTATTTTTTTTACCCATACACGCAGAGTGGTACATGCAGTGAGTTGTAAGAAAAATAGCACCCAAACATATAAAATATATTTTGAGATATTTTTATCATTATTATCATTACATGTAAAAAGACACTTGTGGGTTCACTGGTTATTTTAGACAGTTAATAAAATGCCTATATTTGTGTTGTATATTTCACAAGCCCTGATTATATTATCTATCTATCTATCTATCTATCTATCTATCTATCTATCTATCTATCTATCCATCCATCCATCCATCCATCCATCCATCCATCCATCTATAGTAGCCCCTAACCCTCAACATGACACCTGTTTACAGGGAAATCGGTATGGTTTCCATATCTGTATTGCTACTGAGAAAGAAAGAGCTGTATCATGCCATCTCTAATTGTGATTAAGAGTAAATTAAGCCTCAACTGTTATGACTATTGTAACTCAAAGTTTCAGTTGTTTTTGGTAAATGAGAAATAACATCCAAATAATATAGTATAGGGTTCTATACCTATTAAAGGTTTTTTTCCCCTAGAACTCTACATCCAAGCCAAAAGCCATTTAGGCAGGTTCATTCCTAAAACAACTTTTACTGAACGAAGTGAGTCAGTCTGTAATACCCTACCTTGTACACACGTAATGGCCACTGTCGGATGACACCGTTTTCAAAAACCACAAGGAACTCCCTTTAAATACATGTCGGCTTGTTGATATTACAGTGTCGTTATCTTTGGTCCAGCTGAACGTCAGGTTCTTGACCTCTCCTGTGTAACAGCGGAGTCCAACAGTGTCACCCTCGATGGCGTATGTCTCCCTCTGTTGGGCTACAACAGTAGAGAAAGTAAAACCAAGTACATGAACTGTGTAGATTACGTTAAGACACAAATTCAGGCTGCTGCTGTTTAGTGAAACCCTTTAAGCCGTTTCAGAAAACCAACAATTTTGTTCATGCTTCAACAATTGCAGTTACGTAGCTCTCATGTTTTACAAACATGGACACTCAGACAAAACAAAATAAGAAATCCAGAAAATAATTCATTAAATCGACACAAAAAACCTTTTTATAGCTGTAATTAGTCAAAGATTAGAGAAAATTAAAGTCAAACTTTCAACAAAATGTGTCCTAACTGTTGCTAGGGGGAAAAGCAGGTGATTTTTTTCTCTTATGGCGGGAGCAGAATTCTATACTTATCAGATATTTAACGTAAGAAATGGTTTTATTATGGTTAACAAGTACAGAGCTAATCTGATGAAATTATAGTGCTTTTCTCTGTATAATAAGAGGAACCAACCACAATAAAATAAATGATACTATCTCTGAGGACTAGTGACAAGGTGTCAACTGAGCTAAAATGAACTAAAAGGAAAATGGAATGTTTATATGATGTCCCGTTGGCGCAGAAGAAGACGCAGAGTCAGCCATTTTCTTTGCTGAAAACAAAAATAGGAACTAACAACGGGGGAAAATAGTGTGGAGGTCAGCAACAGCCAAACACAACTTAAAGACAGTGAACACTTCAACCATACTCGTGTAACTAAGGACGCGAAAAGGCACAGTCAAGTTGTAACACGTATTAATAATACTAATCAACAACAACATTATAAAATTTAAACTAAATAAATGTTGTGGAGAGGCAAAAAGCATTCTCTCTGCTCTCCAAAGTGACCCTGAAATCCAGTGGCAGCCTCACACAGCCCCCTCCTCAAGGGTCACTCCACTCCATGCTCTGTGTCCAGCACAAGAGCTGCACGGCACCAGCAGCTGCCACACATTCTTTCCGGACACGAGTGGTGCCCAGCCTGGTTTCTGTTCTGCCTGGAGCCATGCGCATGTGGGGTGTGGTGGAACACCTCACAGCTCACAGCATCAAATCTGGTGCTACAGGAGGCAACAACAGCAGCAGCGGCACTTCACTCAGCCACCTTCCGCTTTCTCCATTGTCCACTACATCTGTGATGCTGACTGGGTGTGTTGCCCACAGCCCTTGGGGATCCACCGCTAGCTGCCACAAGCAGCTTCACTTGTACCGCCTCCAAGCCCAGCATTTCCTTCCTGAGGCTGAGCATGGCCCCGGTCCCCATGAGGAAATCCAACCTGAGCACTCAGCTCAGGCCCCGACCATGACCAGGAGCCACTTCCTCCCTCTCATGTGACTTGGTTACCAGTGATGGACTTCAGTTGGACGGTCGTCGCTTCCCAGGTGTTGGGTGTGCTGCTCTCGGGATGGGGAGGGGCACACCTCAATATATCAGTGACACCAGAGTCAATGAGGGCAGTGGGCTGTCCCCTATCTACTCATAACCCAAAGTCCACGGAAGCAACAAGCTGACTGGTGCGAGCTGCACATGCCGTCTCACCATGCCAGCTCTTCCTGCATAGCCTTCTCACGCTGGCTATGCCTGCTCCACTGTCGTGCTCAGCTTCACTGCCAAACACACTTATTCACTCTCCATTTAGCTTCTGCCTCTTCGGGAATAGCTGCCTAACCATCAACACCATCAGCACCTGCCTGAAGTGTCATTGGAGGGCCATGGTCAATGCTGCTAGGTCATCAAATTGTTCTGGCGGCAGCCGGATCCATAAGCACTTGTAGTGCTTTCCTCTCCAGTGCCGTACACAGCTGCCGGGTGACAGTCGAATACAGCACAAAGATGATGAACACTTTATCCACACTACTTTCACAACAAACAACCCGAAAAAGCACAGCCAAGTTGTAACACATATAACAACTAATAAACAACAGCATTGAACCATTAAATTCCGTGGTGTTCCTTAAGTTCCGTGGTGGCGCAACAATATATATAATTAAGATGTTTGGTTCAGTAGCCTAGCTGCGTTGGCTCCCATATCTCACATTTAGGTTCAGTATCTAAATGGCATTTTACTGAACATTTTCAAAATGTTCATATTGTCTTTACATGAAACTTTACATGACTAAATACTACTAACTCATGCAGTTCTAACACTTTTCTCTGGGTGAACACAGGAAAAAACTAACTAAAAAATTCAATGAAACGATCTCTGTTGGTCAAATACAAAACTTAACTAAAATAAACCAAAACTTGTTCACTAAAAGAAAAAGGGAACTTCTTTTTTTTAACTTAGCATTTAGTCGATAACCATATGAGCACGTCTCACATTTAGACTAGCCTCTAACTAGCGTCTAACTAAACATTTGGAAAAAATGTTGATAGGAAGAAGGTGTCTTTACATGACTAAATACTTCTAACTAATAAACAGATGACTGAATAAAGTGTTCTTACCTCTGCATTTGGACATTGAGACACTCGTTGCCCAACTTAAAAGCAGAAACAAAACGCCTTTCATATTTCTCTGACTAAAAACTGAGGAACAACCTTCTTGTAGAATAAAGGGACTAAAGCAGATTTCTGCTTTCCAATGTTGGCTACTTCTCTTACAGTTTCTGTTTGTGTCAGTTTTCCTGACTCAGCCCTGTTGACCCAAACCAAAGTCATTTGAACTGATGATTTGAATAGGAATCCTCACCCAGTGTGCACTCTCGGGGAAACCTTTGTTTCTTTTTTGTTGTTGGGCACTTCCGTGTACAACGTTATATGATCTTCATTTTTAATTCTGCAGAATGTGGCAAAGAGGGAGGTAAAAGGGTGGTATTAATGCATCAATCAGTGGTGAGAACAGATTAAAGCAATAGGAGAGGCATTTATAGTGCAGAAAGAGAATCTGCATGCATTGAATGCATAGAAGCAGCTTGTCTGGACACAAACATGCATAACATACTGAAAATGAAAGGGCCCATTTTGTGGAAAACCAAATTTCAGCAAGTTTCAAAATGTGCCATTCACTCTCTGTTCTATACAGTCCAAGTGTAGAAAGAGATTCAAAAAAGCCTGATTTTAGTCATTTTTTCTGTGACACGTTCATATATCTGTTTATTCAGCCTACAGCAGTTAGGCTGAATAAAAGTCATGTTTCAGCCCAGACTGCTTTGAATGAGGAACAATGTAGGGTAGCCAATCAGTTAATTTACATGTATAAGTGTTAAATGCACAGTAACCAAAACAGCCTGGTTTTAGCTCTAATGGATAAAAAGAGGTTGGATAGGCATCTTGGGGGCTCCGGGTCACCCCACGACCCAGAAGGATAAGTGGCTTAGAAAATGTGTGTGTGTGTGTGTGTGTGTGTGTTTGGCACATTAAACTACATACATTTTGTCAGTGGACTTCAGGGAGAATAATAAAAATAAAAAAAGAGTATGATACGAGCCCATCAGAGATAAAGGTGTCAAATGGAGTGATGGCATGGAGAACCACTTCTAATTATTCAGCATGTTACGTATGTCTGTATTAATGTTAGATTTGTGTCTTGTAGTGTTACTATATTATATCCACCATAACATTAAAACCACCTCCTTCCTTGTTTCTAGACTCTTTGTCCATTGTATCATCTCCATTTACCTTACAGGAGTGCTTTGTAGTTATACAGTTACAGACTGTAGTCCATCTGTTTCTCTGCATACTTGGTTAGCCCTCTTTTATCCTGTTCTTCAATGATCAGGACCCCCACAGGACCACTACAGTGCAGGTACTATTTGGGTGGTGGATCATTCTCAGCACTGCAGTAACACTGACATGGTGGTGGTGTGTTAGTGTGTGTTGCGCTGGTCTGAGTAGATCAGACACAGCAGTGCTGCTGGAGTTTTTAAACACCTCAGTGTCACTGCTGGACTGAGAATAGTCCACCAACCAAAAATATCCAGCCAACAGCGTCAGAGTTGTGTGGACTAGAGGATAACTAACACAAACTGTGCAGCAACAAAGGAGCTATTTTCTCTGACTTCACATTTACAAGACGGACCAACAAAGTAGGAGTGTCTAATAGAGTGGACAGTAAGTGAACCCAGTGTTTAAAAACTCCAGCAGCACTGCTGTGTCTGATCCACTCATGCAAGCACAACACACCCTAACACACCACCACCACGTCAGTGTTACTGCAGTGCTGAGAATGATCCACCACCCAAATAATACCTGCTCTGTGGTGGTCCTGTGGGGGTCCTGACCACTGAAGAACAGGGTGAAAGGAGGCTAACAAACTAGGCAGAGAAAGAGACCATGTGGAAAAAGATATATGGACATGTATTTTTGTATGTTTGAAATACATTTAAAATACATTGCCATCCATGCTGAAATACATTGCAAACACTAAAATGTATAACAGAATGTATTACTGTATTAACCAAATATGTTTTAAAATGCATTAATATTTTAAGACATCTGGGGAAATATTACACATAGAAATGTACCACACAAAAATAAATTTATGTAAATATATTTAGCAAGCATGTATGAAAATAACCAACAAACTTATACACTTTTCAAATGAATTTGTATTCCAGTACCTTAATTTTAAATAAAAGCAAGTGTTATAGGTATTCATACACTGTGAAAATGCAGTTATAATTTGATATATTGTTTGAAATACATTTTATAGTGTCATAGTGTCTTACTGCATATGTACATGGTTAATACAAAGTACAATGTAAAACACAGAAGTCGATATCACTTAGATATTTATCAAAACCACATACAATTGTAAAAATATAAAAACAAATGCAATTAAATGCTTTTTAAAAATATATTTAACAAATGCATTTTTGGCCATTTTCATACATTGCAAAAAATATAATTGAGAAACACATCTGGAATATATTGCTGTCGTCAGAAGAAAACCTCCTGTCTCCAAAATGATAACTTTACAGGAGAAGGAAAAACCTACTTTACTTTTAATGTAAGTCCATGGAACCAGAATTCTTTTCAAGTCGTTTTGGGCCGTTTCTGTCAGTCCATTCATCATGAAATTTACACACACTGTAAAGCACAAAGGGCATTTTCAAATCATGTCAAAAACTGGAAAATGACAAAAATGGAGATTCAAGGTTTTCTTCCGACAGCAGCGATATGTTTCTTCTATATGGGAGATGGTCTACAGTCTGCTGTAACTATAGGACAACAGGATGGACGATGAGTGTAGAAACAAGGAGGTGGTTTTAATGTCATGGCTGATTATAAAAATCATTGGCAGTAAGCTCTGTATTGTTGTGCACTGTTTTGAAAATAAAACAAAACAAAAAAAAAATCGGAATAGTTCGAATGGTTGAATTAAACTTCCTTTTCTGTCCACATTCTGTTCACATTCATGGCTGATCTGTAGCCCATGGCCTCGCTAAATACATTGGCAGAGCAGAGCCAGCATGTGAATCCGCATGGCTACACCATCAGGCAAAATCAGGCCGAGCGGAAAGGAAGCTTCATTCTCCTTTATGGGACAACTGCGACATTTTGAGGGGAAGACTTGCTCTTTTTAGACAAGACAGACTTCACCGGGAATTCTCCCCACCTTCCCACTTGTAAACTACGTTCCTGTTGTGAGATTTGTTCAGAAGTATCGGTGAAACTCACACCATCTACAAAGAAACCCCTATTTTTTTCCGCTTCGTTGTCAGGGCAACGGACGCGAACGTGAGAAGAACGCGTCATCTGATTGGTTGTTATCATTCCGACGCCTTCGCTGTGCTGTTTAACGCTCACCTGTGATTTGTCCGCCTTTATCCTGCAAACTAAAGCTGTTTAAATCTGAAGGACTCCGCCGTGTCACCTGTGTCGCGCCAGCCGCATTAGAAAGGTAATACAGTTTATATTTAACTCGGAAATGTCCTTAATTCTTCTCCATTTCTGATTTGAACGGATATTTTTAGGGCGAATACGTACTGAAAGAGGCTCACAGATCTGTGCTATCAACTTAAGTTGGCTATTAGTGCTGTACAGTATTACCATTTACTAAGTAAACATTAGTAAATAGTAAGTAGGTTGACGGTGAGTATAACTTAGTTTGACTGCATTACACTGGGCTAAATCACAAATAGCGCCGTACTCCCTATGTAGTGCTCCACATAGGTCCTGAAATGATGTCTTTGACCCCAAAATAGTGCTTTAAATGTAATATAGAGCCAGTTGGGGTTAGCCATGGCCTGAACGGCTCCTTATCGCACATGTATCATAGTACTTAAAGGAGAATTTCACCAAGTTTTCAAAATTTCTGAACAATTCAGTCCTTGAGTTCTAAACAGTCATTTCAGAGTAGTTTGATGTGAAGTGGTTCATTGTAGAGGAACCAGGGGTCACAATGTCTACAACACAAATATAGCCATTTTCTTTACTATCCAAAACCACAAGTGAACCTAAATGTGTCTTCTGAGTTTTTTTTATATGTAATGTTTATGATGATAAAATGGTGGTAAATCTGAAAACATACGTTTTCTTTGGAGACTGTTTTTTCCTCACAACGCTCCGCATTGTATCCCTCCCCCATGAATGGAATAAAATAAATGGAGTAAAATACAGTCTAAGCCAACACTATCATAAAACTACTACTGTAAACGGTGTCTCAGACATCAGGCACTGTATTCATAACCATCTCATGTAATAACCTAACTGTTGGACGTCTGGTTCCTATCACCACCGCTGTGAACAATTCTGACTAGGACATTTCTCTAGAACACAGCATTTTGCATCAAACCACTCTGGATGGCTTTGTTTACATCTTAACCAGTTAATTATATAGAATTCTTGAAAATCGGTGGAGTTCTCCTTTAACACGTGGAAGCCAAAGTAGTGCACTAGCTATATATCTAGGGAGCAGGGAGCCTTTTGAGATTCAGCCTTTTTTAACTTCTGTGAACATTTATTCCTAAACACAGAGAAGTAAAAGCAAAGTAGCAGTTAGCTGCTGTAACGGAGGTGCTTCTCACCTCGTTAAGTACGTTTTAAGTTGTTTTAAACACCGAAATATTGGCGCTGTCGCCAGTTCAGAGCTAATGTTATTGAAACGGAAACTATTTTTAACGAACGTTTTAGCCAAGACCGCTTTCAGGTTGTCATGACAACCTCCGCGCCGCTCGTGTTGTGCTGGTCTGCAGTCCGTCAAGCAAACGGAGTAAACTAGTGCTAAATAGGCCTTTCCAGCTAGCTAGCATTTCCAGCTCTGTATGGTAAGTGTTGTGTCTTTGTTTGTGCTTAACCCCAGAGTTTACCTCCCCATTTACCCCTTATTAGTGCTCTCCACTGGAGGACAAAGTAGTTATAAAATATCTGCAATTGAGTGAAAGTAGAAGAGCTGTTGGTAAAATAGGAGAGCTTTACTTAAGTAGAAGTATTCTAGCTACATTAGCTAGTCTCCAGGGTATATTTTGTTTTTTCCATCTGAATTCACATGACCAAATCGTAAGGCAAATTATTCAGTAACTGCATGAAATAAATGTAATTTTTAATTTTTTTTATTTATTTATTTATTTATTTATCTATTTATTTTGTAAAAGCTCCCCTCAAATGAACAGAACATGTGTTTTACACATTTTGCTATATGTTTACAATTTACTGCTGAAAGCCAAAAATCTTAGACGCTCTTTGTGATATTTTATAAAAATAATTTTTACAGAGTATATCACTGAAGAGACACCATCTGTTTATAGTTTATAGCCCAGATTTGTGGAAAAATGGGTCAACTTTCAGTAGACAAAAAAAAAATTGTGAGTACTGTCAACTCTATTAGACACGCCGACCTTGTTGGTCCACCTTATAAAGCTAAAGACAGTAGCTCATCTGATGCTGCACAGTTTGTGTTGGTTGTCCACTAGTCCTTCTTCAGTGGTCACAGGACGCTGCCCACAGGACACTTTTGGCTAGTTCTTTTGGTTGGTGGACTAAGGTACATTGCACTAATGAAAAATTTTGCTGTACCATGTAGACCACCAGTTAATTTACTAAAGTATATAAACGTGACTGTCAGATGTCAAATGTCTAGGTACACGGTTTGAGGCAGTTTTGTTAAAATGATGCTGATATCTATTTACTTTTTGCTGTTGCTACACTTACAGGCAAGTACATTTGTACTTTTACTCAAACAGAAAAGCAGACAGAATACTGCTACTTTAATTTGTCTTCCACTGGAGAGATGATTCAGCAGAGGATGAGGACATTAATCATTAGAATGAATGCATTTATTAATTGCAATTCTGATTTGAACTCACTTTTATTCCAGGGTGGTTAGAGCACAACCAGAAGGGGGAGGCAAAGGACTACTTACTGTCAAAGCTGGAGTCTGAGGAGGTAGCCCAGAGCTTTTAACACGCACAGTATTAAACCTGAGGCCATTCATTTGGCCTGATCTAGTGCTGTGAGACCAAACCATGACACTTTTTATTCAACCGTAGTTATTCATAAGCAAACATAATGCACTTAATGTACAAACAACAGCGTATGTTCTGTTTACTAATATTGTGTCCGTTTGCGCTCAGTTTGAAGTTTAAAATGTCCAAATTCAGATTTTTCTTTGATGTTTTTCTTATATTTTTCTTATATTGGCCTTAAGCAAATTTTTCAGGGATCCCTGTCTTGTCAGCTGATGAGCTGTAATCACAGTCTGAATATCTAAATATGGATTAATCACAGCCTTAGCATCTAAACTTGGATTATTCACATCCTGAGTATCTAAACCTGGATTTAAACAGCCTGAGTTTCTAAACCTGGAGTAATCACAGCCTGAGTACCCACAAATGGATTAATCACAGCCTGAGTATTTAAAGCTGGAAATAATGTTAGATGCTACAGTATTAATGAGTAATAAAATGAAAAAAGTATTACTGTCTTACCCTCCTTCTATATGCAGTACTCCATCAGTATTCCTTCAAAGCTGTGAATGACAGCAGTGCTTTCCAATGCGGTACAGTCTATAATATATAGACTATACTAAGTCTGTAATAGTCTATGTAGATTTTGTTATATTATAATAGAATAGCAATGCTTTCTACCATAAATTATCTGAGGATCATTGTATTCAGCTCTATTGACTAAAGTAAATCTATGTCAAATGTGGTGTGTGTGCACTGCTGCAAGGCACACCCTAAAAGCTAAAATAGTCATTTAAAAGTCAGCGATGTCAGGTTGGGTTTTGTGGGAGTTTTTTGGACCATGTCATACGTCTTTAATGCCACATGCACAGGCTCAAAAAGAAGGTTTGGCTCAATGTTTAGGCCTCAAAAGCAAAATCAATATTATACTGATGAAGGTATAATAATAGATAATTCACTTACATTCTTAGAAGACACGTTTTTCACCGAGTTTTAACTGAGGTCTTTTTGAATACCCTTTCAACACGCTCACAATAATCAGATTCATCCACTAGGGGAAGGGTGGCGAAGCACAACCGTCATTACAAAATGTTCTTCCACTCATGCATGTTTCCACAAGAGAGATCTCTGAATCCCCACATCTTAGCTTTAAGTCATGTAGCATATCCACCTCACAGTCTATGGAGAATCAAATGCCAGTGTGTTCTTTTCACCAAGAGCTGTCACCAAATAACAGTAGCATTCTAAATCTACTTTAGTGTATGCAGTGTGAAGAGGTTTATTATCCCTCATATTTAGAAAGGGAGCCGTGTATGACACGTCTGGATTGATTTGTGCACACTTTAGAGCAGGAGAGGGACCACTACAGACCTGAGGCTAAGAGGATGAAGAGCATGCTGAAGTCCCGCAGATCAGTCAGCCCCACCAGGGCAAACTCCACCAGCCGCAGCCCCACTAGACAGTCTCCTGTCAAGGTAGTAATGAGCTGACACAACAGATAGTTCATCTCTAGAAATCACTGTTATGGCACATTTCTAGGATCATGGACGCACTGGTAGCACTTTCTTTTCAGCACCAATCCCAACATCTGATCGTCAAGCATCTGCCAATACTGATACCAGTCCTATCTCTGTCTAACTACTCCATAGACCCTGATATTTATACCATTTCATTTTCTTAAATATTTTATCATGGTAAAAGCAATGTGCTGTGTCATAAATAAACATACTAGGCTTGAATTAATGCCATTTACTGGTAGGATAACTTCACTTTTGAGCAGCTTCAGAGCTATTTAAAGTTGCTGTGCTCTTTGGCATGGTTTTCTTTAAATGCCTTATAAAATCATATGTATTGAAATCCTTGCTGCTCATGCCACCCCTCAAAATACTGGCTTCACAAATTTTGCAATGAACTGCTTGCTTGCAAGCCTGAAATAGTCACTCTAGTATTGGTGCTGACACTGATACTGTATCATTTTTGGAACAATGCTAGTTTCCATGTGCTTAAGTTGCCCTTTATTAAATTACCTGTGTTATTAATACTAAGCACATTGCATAAAAAGTAAAATTTAGCACAGCTAAAATGAGCTAATGCAGTCGTTTTCCAAGAAGTTGCAATAATAGTGTTATTAATCACTCATAACTCTTTTAATCAATACCACGTTTATATTTGTCAGTAGAGGAAGAGATACATGATTATTATTTTAATTTGACAAAAAATTGTTGTGTATGTTCTTGTTTTGTGAAAAGAAAAAACATTTATTTTTATCATTATCTGACATCAAAACGAAAAAAGGTCAGACCTGCAGACTTAAACCTGTCGATACAGAGAGTAAACTGAATGTAAATGTAATTAATTATGTGACCAAGTATGTAATTATGTAATTTAAATAAACATTGTGTGACAGGTCATTGTGAAATACGCGTGAGGAGCAACTTTATTTAGTGTTATCTCAGTTAGATCTTGGATTTTCATCTATTTTATTTTTCTATTTCCAGATGGAAATCTGAAAATACAATTATGCTTTATATTTTTCTGTTTTTCTGTTATTTTGTTCTTTTTTTTTTTAAGGGGGGCACATATGACTCAGAGCTGATGAGGGTGTTGAGGGAGAGGGATGAGTTGCAGAACATGCTGGATAAATACGAACGGCACCTCTCTGAGATCCAGGCCAATGTCCGAGTGCTCACAGCTGATCGGGACAAGACCAGGATGCATTATCAGCAGGTAGGAGGTGCTCTATGCTCTACTGTCTACTGTCTCTCACTCTCACACTTTCCAGGAGACACAATATTACTGCAGACATACTAATAATTCGTCTTTCCTGTAAAAGGTTTAAATACACTTGCTGGGGATGGATTCTAAACACAGTGTCTGTTGTTTTCCAGCTATGCATGGAATGCCTACTAGTCGAACATACACTATTATGCCCTTACTTCATATGTAGTCAATGGAATGCAGTTTTCACTATGCTAATTGGTAATTAAAAACTTATATTACAAACCCAATTTCAAAAAGGTTAGGATAGTATCTGAAATGCCAACAAATACAGAAAACAGTGATTTGTAAATTCTGTTTGGCCTATTTACAATTGAAAAAACAATATAAATTTAAAAAACAGTATTTGATGTTTTACCTTAACAACTTGTTTTATGGTAAATATATGCTTATTCCAAATATCATGCATGTAACACATTCCAGTTTGGACAAGAGCATGTTTACTACTGTATTATATCACTTTTCCTTTTTAACAGCACTTAATGATTGTTTTGGGACTGAACACACAAATTGATCCAGTTTTAAAAGGGATTTTTTGCCATCATTTAGTTATTTAAGTCATCAGCTATGCAACTGTACAGGGCCTTTTCATTATGTGCCACACCTTTTCAATAGGAGACAGGTCTGGACTTCAGGCAAGTCTAGAACCCGCACACTCTGATTACGCCCTGATATCAACCATGCTGTGAAGAATATTTCTTAAAGTTGTCTTGTTGCTTGGATGTCCCTGAAAAGGATGTTGTCTAGAAGGCAGTATACATTGCTCCAAACGTGCATATTTTGCAGCGTTAATGGTGCCTTCACAGATGTGTAATTTGCCCACTAATACCCCTCTATAGGAAAACAGACCCTGGCATTTTAACTTTATATTAGTTACAATCTGGATTGACCTTTAACATTTTTGACTTGAAAAACACAGCAGCCATTATTAACAATCTAAAAGGTTATACTGTACTGATTTTAGTTGTGTAATACTTGACTTTTGGCTTCGAAATAGTCTATCACTTACTGCATTGTACGCCAGAAAAACCTGGATGACATACTGCTCTGGCCAAATATTCAACTACACTGTTAGAAATAAAGGTTCTGTGCAGGTACATTTTTTATCCATTAAGGTATAAACAATGTAAATGTACCCTCAAAGGTACAACAGTGGTTTTGAGGTCCAGTTGTGCACTTTAAAAAAGTTTTTTCCAGGGTCCAAATGTTTTAAAACAGAACAATAAAAAAGCGTGGAGACGAGACAGGGTGTGTGGAGTCAGTACAACTTAGAAAATATCATTTCAATGGATCATGATGTAATTATGTTCCCTGACTAAAGGTACTGAGATGTACCCTTGAGGGTCCCACGCCAGTGACAAGAGGGTTACTGCCCAGTGACAGTTTCACACCTTTTTTTCTGAGTGTACGCAGCCTGAGTTATCTTTGTAATATACTGCATCCCAGAATGTGATAATTTCAGGAGGATGTAACTACTGACATAACCACCTGGTTTGACCCAAACAATATAATGTTTGGAAAAACTTTTACCGAACATAGGAAAACAGGTGTTTCTGGAAACGAAGTTTACCCCACAGACTTTGGAGACTGGTAAAAAAACAGAACCCTTCATTCTGGTATGGTATCAAGTGTCTTTTGAGCAAATTATACCTACATGCATGCTAAAAAGCTGAAAAGCAGCTAGCAGTGCTGTAAATCATAAGCATGACGGCCCCAGGCTCATGCTTTATTTGCAGACCTTATTCTAAGCGTCTCTCTGCTTTTGGCAGGCTCAGGAGGAGATAGCAGACCTGCGGCGCATGGTGATGAGGTCAAAGACATCACGAGGACCCAAGTGTAGCGTGACGGCTCAGAGCATCCTCAAGCGTGTAGAGACTGAGAGGGACGAGGCCATGACTGACCTGCACCGCATGACCACTGAGAGAGACAGCCTGAGAGAGAGACTCAAGGTAATATGTAGAGACATGTAGGACATAGAGAGGGAGTCTGCCTGAGAGAGAGGGAGACTCAAAGTAGGATTTGGAAAGTCTGAAAGAGAGAGCTCAACATACAGTACTGTGAAAAAGTTTCAGGCCACCTTGTTTAAAGACCAACATAAATACAAAAATGAATATAATAAATGGTGATTTGATTAGTCAGTGTGTTAACTTAATCATTTCAGTGTTCGTGTGGCTGCATGCTGCCATTGGTGGTATAGCGTCATGAGGCATGAAGAAATGTTTTTTTTAATGCCAATATGTAAACGCTGCTTAACTAACTAGACTAATGCTAGCTTGGGTTTATTTACAGTATTAGCCTATGGATCAGTGGCTAGGTTAGCAGTCAGCATTGGTTGACAACACAGGGACTGGGTATTGTAGTGAGAGAACACTGATGAATGAGAACATGAAAGCAATGTAAAATCATGAATTGAAACTGAGGTATAAAATGCTGCACTACAGAACACTGCGTAAGATGACAAATACCATTAAATTCTACTTTTAATGCTTCCCTAAGTTAAATCAGCTGATTGTGAAATATAACAGATACGTGCAGTAACTGGAACTGCATGGAGAGAAAAAGAAACCAGATCTTTTCTTATAATAATTCAGTTCACAGCATAGCGCACAATTCTTCAATGTTATATGATGTTTTAAAAGCAAAAACTCACTTAGTGCCAAGATTTTAAACCATTTTCTTGACTGGCATAAAACCTTTGCCTAGCGTGACAGACTGAAAGAGAGAATCATCTTAAGAGGGGCAGAGAAAGACTTGTGAAGAAAGAGAAAGAAAAAAACTATAACTCGAAGTAAAAGACAACATAACTTGCTTGCTGAAGGGCTAGCATATCGTCAGCATTATAAGATAAACCTGGGAAAGGATTCATTTTACAGTACTCAGCTGAAGTCAGAGGCCACAGTTGATTTAATTTCCAGTCAAAATAGATATAAACTTGAAGTTTTTTTTTCACTTTTTATCATCAGCAAAAAAATAACAGGAAACATATATTTAACAGTAGATAATACAAAAGCCTCAACAACTAAATATAATATCTGATCTGTCAGTATTTAATTTGTCCACTCCTTACTTTTGTGCAATCTACTGCTGCTTCAACTCTTACATCCTTACGGCCCATGTGTAAAGATCAGGCCTGCTACACAATCCTATCTGGCCCGCAAAAGTATTTTAATGTTCTATTAATATTAGCACGTTTCACAATGTGCTGCACTACAGTCCCCAGCATGCACTGCATCGTAATGTGCTCCAACTCTCCTACCCCAACAACAGTCTATGGGACAGCAGTTACACCTCAATTCTACACAATTCTGCACAATTCCACACTAGTCATATCACCAAAATGCATTTCAGCTGCAGTTCAACCAATATAAACACTTAACTTCAGCTCAGCTGCTCAGAAATTGTCTTAATGAACGTGCAGCAAAGAATGGATGCCAGGTGTCTAGTTCAAGTAAATAGGAAGGTTTAAAAGACTGAGCTCCTGGGGACATTTGAATTTCCATGTAATATTTCAAGGTCTACTACAAGTGTCTGTATTTTACTTGTGAAATTTTTGCATATTTTAAATAAACAATGGTCAGTTCGGGTTATAGCACACCGTTAATTAAGAATGAAATAAAAACATTTTTTTACTCTGGCCCACAGATGTGATGAGATTTTTTAATATGGCCCTTTTACTGGTTGAGTTTGACACCCCTGAGTTACAGCATACACAGTTATGTTCCCCTTCAAAAACACACTAAGATTCACAAAAGCAGCTACCTAAACACACCTTAGCTGCCCTGCAAATTTCTTTCTAATGTTCATCTAAAATGGTACAGGAAATATTTCTGAGGAGATTAAGTATAAGATAAATGTACAGATGAAAGAATGTTCTCACACATTTGTACAGTACTGTTTACAAAAAGACTATAAGCCATAGCCGTAAATGAACTTAAATAAACCGGTGGAGGATCTCCACGGGCTTATTATTTTTGTAAAGTCATGGATACGTGTGCTGTGTGATGTAGACTATTTGTTATTCATATGATGCAATTATGGAAAATCACATGTGTAATAGTTGTCTGCTAAAAACAATAAGAAGATGAATCATCTCCCAGTGGGGAGAATGGAATACCGTAAATAGAGACAAGAAGCTTATCATAGTCGTGTGTGAGTGTGTGAGGCGTTTCCCATCTTAAATGTTTTTCTGTGTGTGTGTTGTGTCAGATCTCTCAGGAGACGGCTATAAGTGAGAGAGCTCACCTGGAGCAGAGCGTAGAGGACCTGCAGAATGCCGTACTGACAGTAAGACATCACTGAGATCTTTAAACACTCTCACTGATTTCACACTAGTGCACACGCTTATAAAACCTTAAGCTTCTCGACTGACCTGTTAAAGTGATAGTTTGATTTACACAGATTCCCTTTTACTTTAAATGTAAACAATCAGCCAAGACAAGTTTGTTCTCTGAAGTCTGCTTCTTTAGTTTTGGACTAATGTAGGCTAATGAGTAACAGAAGCTTATTTTTATCAATTAGCTAAGTAGGGATGCACTGATCTGGGAATTGTGGGCCGATAACAATATGCAATATTTTTCATATACATTTCTGTCAATGGCGATATCTAAACATTTATAAAATGTAGAAACTAGGACTGGATTAGCATTACGGAGAAGTGTAATATGTATTTGTAGAGAATTACACATACATTAAAATGAATAAAATGCAGACATTCTAGCCCAGCGTCACCCAAAGTGTCATAAATAAAGTATTTGTTTAAAAGTGTTTATCAAATCTAAACGACCTATGTATCATATTACACAATTATAGCATAATTATTATATAAAATTTTATATTTTTATGTATGCCTATGCCTAGAGTTGACAGAAGTATTTTGAGGTGCTAAAAACAGTACTAATATTCCATCATGAAGTCTGAATTATGGCTGCAATTATGCCCATTTTTATACAGTGCTGTGACAAAGCTCCCTTTCTAATTATCTTTATTTCTATATATTTGTCACAGTGAATGCTTTTAAAATTAATGTAATTTTAGAGAAAGAGAACCATTTCAAACACAAACCACATTTTTCACAATTATTAGGTGCAAAGTTATCCAACTTGTAAATTGCCTATGTAAATATGTTATTAAAATGAATAGCTTGTTTCATGGCCTTTAGCAGCAATAAATGCAACCAACATTTCCTGTCATTTGATATCAGCTTTTCACAGTGCGGAATTCGGAATTTGAGCCCACTTTCTTGCTTTAATTCAGATATATTGTTGGGCTTTCAAGCATGCGCTGCTTGTTTGAGGCCCTTCCACAGCATATCTGCTGGGTTTGGCAGAAAAATGTGTTTTGTGTTTGATAAGGTCCCCTTCGTCTACTATTATATTTTGTTTAAAGATCTAAAAGCGTTCACTATGACAAATATGCAGTAATAGGGAAAATCAGAAGTAAATACTTTTAGATAACAATATGGCATACAGTGTCAGAAAGTACATAAGCAAGTCTGTTTAAGATTACCTAACAACTTGATGCAATTTAAGGCCAGTGAGTGTTAAATGATGATTTAGGCATATAGTTTGCAGGCTGCTAAGTGGTGGGGTATACACTTGCACTACTTGTTAGCTACATTAGCCTTGTAACACCAGTGCAAAGCTAAAGAAGCAATATCAGACACTAAACATGTCTTGTTTAATTGATTACATCTAGGGTAATAGGGGAAACTGTGATTTCTGCCAACCTATAGCTTCAAAAACTAGTATCAAACCCATGCTGTGTGCCCTCAGATGGAGCAGGAACGAGCTGAGCAGAAGAGCAGACAGGCTCAGATGAGGGAAGCAATGATGGGACTGGAGGAGGAAGTGCACACACTGGGCAGGAAACTGACCGCTAGCGAAGATGAACTCAACCGCCTCAAGAACGAATGCACTATGTTGAGGTTAGCCAATACAATGCTGCTTCTATACTGAGCATACATTTTTAAATTATTATAAAATATTAATTTCAAATAGATATATTACAACATTCTTGAACACAAAAAAGTATTTTTAAAGGCTACCCATTTGACCTTTTTCCTATAAAGTGTTTTGGTGTCTTTGAAAGTGTGCAGAGTCTATTGTTTAGTTTTTATTGTCATTTTCAAAAAAAATGTAAAAGAAATTATTAGGTATATTAGGTGTATTAGGTAGATTGCTTGATTACTAATATTATTAATAGTGACAGCCCTAAATGACTAACATATGATTATCAAAGAATTCATAGTGTCAGAATTCATTATATGTACAGAGATCACATAATTAACAGGCTTGCCATGCTAAGACATGATTCATGTTTTGTAACATACCATGCATTGGTCAGTCCGTTCTTTAGCAGTGAATAATTTGAACAACAGGTTGTCCAGCAGTCATGCAGAGAGTGCACTGAGTGAGACGCAGCGGCGACTGACCAGCAGGATTGGAGAGCTTCAGAACATACAGGAGAAAAACAAACAGCTGGACGAGAGGAACGGTGAGGGTTTTTACACCAGCGTTTTATGTCTTATAGTCATTGAGTTTGTACAAACTCAGCCATAGAAAAAATAGAAACAAATATTCTTCATTTTACCTTATAGTCATTGTCGATTCTATTATTAATGATTATTAATCGATGGGCTTGTGATTATCAGCATTCTTCTATATGTTCTTGTATGTGTGTATGAGTAGATGTTTTGATGAAGGAGGCAAGTAGTCTAAAAGAAGAGTTGAGGGCATTACAGGACACTGTGTCTGAACTTGACCAGCACAGAGACAGACTGCAGGAACAGCTGGAGAAGAAAAGTGACCTTCTGTGCTCCGCTAACAAACAGCTAGATGACAAGGTAACCATTCACATACACACATTTGTTTTTCTATATGTGCTATCTGTTATGAATGTGTAATTACTTATATGTAATAAAACCGATAATACTTACATACATACGGTGTATGTAAGTATGCGGTGGGTGCTGGAGCCTATCCCAGCTGTCATTGAGCAGAAGGCAGGATACACCCTGGACAGATCGCCAGTCCATCGCAGGGCAGACATACACATTCACACCTAGGGGCAATTTAGCGTGTCCAATTAGCTTAACTGCATGTTTTTGGACTGTGCGAGGAAACCGGAGTACCTGGAGGAAACCCACGCAGTCACAGGGAGAACAGGCAAACTCCACACAGAAATGACCCTGGTCGCCCGGCCGGGAATCGAACCTAGGCCATTCTCACTGTGAGGCAACAGCGCTACCCACTGCGCCACCGTGCTGCACACCAATAATACATTGCATATGTATATACAATGCCCTCCACAAATATTGGCGCCCCTGGTAAACATGAGTAATACAGGCTGTAAAAAACATTCTTTGTTGCTGATCCTTTTCCCATTTCATTTCTGAATTCTTTTAGGAAAACATCATCCACACTCTACAGCTACGGATCGAAGACCGTGAGACCACCATAGAGTAAGTGACTGCTTCTACCAAATAACCAAAAAATGTCATAAACATTTAAAGCCAGTCATCTCTGAGATGAGTGCACTTTGCAAGCTCACTGGTTTGTTTTCTTTGGAATCTCACAGAATCTTATCTTCACCATCAAGGTATAGGGTAATTACAGGGGTGTTCTTGTGTTTGCTTTGATGCTCAGGAAGTCTTTGGACTCACCCTTGATGCAGCTGCTGTGATTTTGTTCTTGAATTTAAACCTACACATCCTGTTTTTAAATGCTAAGAGAATGTCCCACAGAAATTAAGATATGGTGGTATCCACTTTTTGGTTTTTGGTCTAAAGAGCTGTAGCAAAAGTTTAATGCTTCCTGATCTGTTTATCACTGCATGTGGGTGAATCCAGAAATCCTCCTGCTACAAAACTCCAAAGCTTTAGAATCTTTCGATTCTGAAGCACATGCTTTAGTTAGTGCATTCTGGGTCACAGAATCTACTAATAAGAGTGTTTTCTGTAAAAGAATTATCTAAAAAGTACAGTTTTCTCCTTCCCTCCCTTTATCTGCCTGAATGGAGTAGTGGAGTAGTTTGTAGTGGAGTGTTCTTTCTAGTTAACTTTCCCAGTGTTAATTACCTTCTATAGAGATTAATCTAGGTCAGTAACACTCGATTAACTGTTGGGGTGATCTAATACTAGTGTTTTTGCTCTTGTTAAAGGGGAATTCCACCACCAACTTTTCAAAATTGTTGCATAATTAAATCGTTGTCATTATTAAATCATTAAATAGAGTCATTCAGAATGGTTTGATGTGAAATGCTTCATTCTAGAGAAACATTCTAGAATCATAATGGTTCACAACAGTGATGATAGGAACCAGATGTTTGACGTGTTTACGAAGTTTTAGTTTGAAATATATTCTTGTGTTTTTGAAAACACATTCATAGGGGAGAGACATATGCAGTGCATTGTAAGGCAAAATAGTCCCCCAAAAAACTGTACACTGTATGGCCAAAAGTATGTAGACACCTGTCTATTATACTTATATGACTTCTTGGACATCCCATTCCAAACCATAACAGCCTCTACTCTTCAGTGAAGGGTTTCCACAAGATTATGTCTGTGAGAATTTGTGCTCTTTCAGTCAAAAGAGCATTTGTGAGTTCAGACACTGATGTTGGACGAGAAGGCCGTGCTCGCAATCAACGTTTCAGTTCATCCCAAAGTAGGCTTAAGGTCAGAGCTCTCTGCAGGCCACTGGAGTTCCTCCACACCAAACTCATCATACCATGTCATGCCAATGCATGTCTAATACAGTGTCTACAGTACCAGTCAAAGTTTAGATGCACCTAAAAATAACGTATGGAATTACGCAGTGACCAAGTTTACTATTTCAGATCCCCGGTGCCTCATTGCAACCTTGTACACTCTTAAAATCTGAAAATGACTTTAAGATTGTGAGAAAGATGCATTCACATATGTGTGTCCAAACTGTTACTATATATAGCCATTTTTATAGCTTGATGCATGTCTCTAGAGCAATGAAGGAGACTGCAGTCGGCAGGGAGCGAGAGCTGGACGTTGTGAGGAGGAAGCTGTTGGACTCAGGAGACGAGCTGGCCTCTGTGCTGAAGGTCAAAGACGTTACACTGCGAGAGAACATACAGCTCAGAGATGAGCTGGACCGAGCACGACTGGACAATCAGGTCAGAGAACTCTTTTTCCACCAATATACAGTACTTTACACTTCACTTCTCTTTTAATACTCTTCCAACATGCTTGCATCAGATTTTTCTGCATGGGAAAGGGGTCCAAAGCACAATCAGCGTTACATAATAAGAGGAGGGACCATTGGTCAGAACTCTTGTCCATCAATGTAGTCTTAAGGTGTATTGTTTGGGGCAAATCATGTAATATGGGGGCTTAAAAATCATCATGGACTACATTATCACAGTTTCAACATGAGTTATGACTTAAAAACATGTAAAATAGTTGTTCAGACCTGCAACCACACCAGTCTCTTTAATAAAATTTGTCTTTAAAATAATATAACATCATAACTGTCATAACTCTCAGTACTTTTACTTTCAATACTTAAGTCCATTTAAAAAAAGTACTTTTATATAGTGCTTTTACTCTTGTATAGTACTTTTACTTTTAATGTATATACTTCTAGTGCGTATGGTACTCTTAACTCATATATACAAGTATTTGAATAGATGTGTTCAGACTTTTGCTTGGTCCTGTATATAGAATTGCTGCATAGCGATGAGTTTAGAGCCGTACATGGTGGAAGATGAAGGACATGAGGTAGCAGTACGCAAGCGGTGTTTTTTATGTTCCATTTTGAAGGGAAAAACCAGAAACAAAAGGAAAAGCTAAACAAAAAAAAAAACACTTAACAAAGTCACTGAAAGAACTACTGAAGAAAGAACAAACAGAACTCAGTTGAGTACAAAACATTAGGAATAAATGCATGAAGCCAGAATCTGAGGACAAAGAGCAAACAATGCCAAGCAAGGTACAGGACAAACACAACAGGTATAAATACTGAGGGGGAACACCTGGGAGCAGTTACAGAGCGGGCTACAGATCGGACACAGGTGAGGGTAATGACTCTGGGACGGGTAAGGGCGGATCAGGAGACAAAACAAAACAAAAGCACATGGCCAAAAACAACAGGGGAGGTAAACAAGAAGGGAAAACAGATGAAGACAAGGGCAATGCTGGTAAAGATATTACATGTACAGCAGCAAGTTTTTTAAAAAAATATTTTGCTTTGATTTTAGACATCATCAGTTAATCACTTTTGGATTAGCAGTTGTTTCAATTTTTCTTAAGCACATGATCAATAGATCTGCCCCATAATTCCTCAGAGAATGCTGATTGTTCTGACAAAAGAAGGAAGTATGTCTGCAGTATAAAGCAATATGAGATTTGTTTCAGGACAATGGTACAAAGCTGATCTTCTGTTTTCTCTTTCTCAGGCTTTGCAGCTCAAAATGGATGAGGCAGCTCAAGAGGTAGACAACTTGCAGAAGAAAGTGGAGAACTATGTGTCTGACATTGCTCGGATTGAAGATCTGCTGTCCTCCAAGGTGTGATCACTTAATATTTAGATCATTATTTAATGCATGAATTGAGATTTAACCATTTTGCCTGTATTCTGTGAAAAACATAGGTGTCACAATTGGATATTATTGGTTATTGTAGCATTATGGTAAGATTTTTTTTTACACTTTTACAGCTTTTATAATTAGGTTGAATTTAACTTTATGGTATTTGCATCATTTGTAAAAGTCAAGAAAGTAAAAGTTACCATGTCATAGTGATGTAATTACCACAAAGTTACATAGATATTGATTAGTAAATGGTAATTGTTAGCAGTTTGTTTGTGGTAGTTCTGTTGAATTGTAGAATCTCATCCAGGATTTGTGTCAACAAGTGGATTGTGCATCATTCACACAGCTTAAATCCATAGTAGCTGCATTTCAAAGAATTTTGCAGACCCAGCATGCACTACCAGTCAACAGTTTGAACACACCTACTAATAGATTTTTTTCTATTAATTATTTTCACTATTAGTAAAAATTTATGATTGTGTTTTACTATCACAGGAGGAGGAAACAAGCCTTTTTAACTTACAATGGAAGTTAATGTAGCAAGATTTTTTCAAAGTTGGAGCATTTCTATTGGTCTGTTATTTGTGAAATTTTACAAAAATGCAAAAGGTAAGTGGAGTTTTAAAATTATTTTAAAAAATTTAAAATGACAAAGATGGACATACAAGGTTTTTGCACAACAATGAAGATATGAATATGTGTTATTTCATATAAATACCAAATAGACCTATTTTAGGCTCACACTATCATACAGCACAGCTGATTTGCCCAAACCCATTAACAAGGACAAACAGTCCACATTTTAACTTTTAGCAAAGCACATATAGTCCCTATGGTTATATAATAATTGTGGTTCAGCATTTTCCAGCTGTAATACTGCATTCAGATGGTATCTAAAACTGTGAAGTACCAATTTTCCTACTTGTAAACTGCATTTGAAAATCTGAGGTCATATTTACAAATGGAGAGCTTGACATTCTAGATGGTGCCCCTTTTCTGCTGGCGGAAAACATTAAACTTGGCAGTGAATGTGAAATAAACCTGATGCACTTCTTGTTGCCTATGTGCTTTTATAATATAGCGAAGAAAAAGCAAAATATACGATGTCCTCCGTGCTTTCTTTTTTGTGTGGTTGAGATTATCTTCCAACAAGTACCTCGATAGGGGTGAAGTTGTATTTACTAGTTAACCATCTGGTATAAATATCCTTCTGACGAGCACCCAAACACAACATATCATTTATAGTTCTGTTCATCATGAAGTTGTAGAGCTCTAGCTTAACTTTACAACCATTATATGCAATCTATTTTGAAAACAGTCCAAACTTTGCAATGGCAGTGAAAATCCATATAGCTATATAGTCAGGTTCAAAGAATAAGCTTTTAGATTGTATATTTATGTTGTATATGTTTATGAAAAATGTGAAAAAGTGTGTGTGTTGAGCAGGAGCGTGAGTGCAGGGAGCTGCAGGAGTGTCAGCGGCGGGTGCGCGTGCAGGCCGAGAGCTGGGAGGAGCAGGCCAGACAGGCAGAGAGCAGCGTCACTGACCTACAGCTGCAGCTCCGCACCTCAGACTCAGAGAAACGCAGACTCAAAGACAGAGTGGAGAGTTTGGAGAACAACCTGCAGGAGGTGGGAACAGAGAACACATCTGGAAAAAACCTGCTGCACCATTAAGCCAAATTATCTAGACCTACTCAGATGGTGGTCTTGTGGGGCATTCGGGAATCAAGAATTGCTGTCACTGAAAAATGCATCGTTTCACAACTCACACATTGATAGTCCAGTTGTGTTTCACTTTAGACAAAGCGGAAAAAGAAGTAAAATGTAATATTTGAAACAAAAAATTGGCTTATAATCAAACAACACTGTCAGTGCTAAAACATCTACCCACCTGAAAGAGTTGGCAGAGGAGAATCAGGTACTGTTTAGCCAGCCCCTATTAGTCAGCTAAGTTATTGTAGCTAGTATTAGCGCTTCAAATGTACTTTCTTAGGCCAAATCTAATTAATATTGTGTTCTTTATTTTTGCCAGATGTCTTTCAATATGTCTTGGTTCAACCAGCATAGACCAGCATAGCAGGTCACCAGCAAAACCAGCTTATGTTGTGTTTTGAATGCTGGTATGCTGGTCAGCTGCAAAGGAAGTTGTTATGCTGGGCATCAACAAAACCAGCGTATGTTGTGTTTTGGATGCTGGTATGCTAGTCAGTCAGCATGACCATGCTGAGTGACCAGCAAAACCAGCACCAGACCAACATAAACCAGCTTACACCAGCTTAGATCGGCATGGACTGCATGTTGTTTTTTAGAATGGAGATTGTCATGTGGAATCGACTCTTGGAATCGACTCTTTTAAATCCATCTCTTGGAATCAGAACTCAAAATTTCTGGAATCAGACATCCCTGTTTCAAAAATAGATGTCTGGGAAACAACTTGTTTGGTATTTAATTGTGGTAAAATTGCAAAAAAATCGACCTTTCACACTCAGTTTCTTCCCACCCTGCATTCCCACCCAGACTTAGCCCAAAATTCCTTCGACTTTGGCTTTACTAATTGCTTCTACATCAGATGTGCTAACAATTTCTTTGTATGCTTAGTATCAGTAACACAACTAATTTCTCTCTCTCTCTCTCTCTCTCGCTCTTTCTCTCTCTGTCAGGCTCATAGTACTGAGCGGAGCTGCAGTGCTGATCTGGTGCAGCTGAAGGAGGAGTTACGGCGGGCGCAGGATGAGCGCTCACATGCACATCGTGACCTGGAGAAGACCAAAGAGCTCTGTGTCAAACTGGACACCAGCAAAGAGGCGGTGTGTGCTACACATTTTTACTTAATTGAAGTGTTGTCACAATATTAGATTTTCTAACTTTGATACAATACTTGAAAGTTTTGATATTCAGTATAATTTTGGAGACCAAAAAACACAAAAAAACACCAAATCATTGTTTTCATAACAATGAATGAGCAGACCAAATGTAGTTATTTGAAAAAATAATCAAAATCGGTTCATGTACAAGCAGCAAGACTTTAAAAGTGATTAGATTGGAAGTTGATGTTACCTTAGCTGTAGAACGTGGGTCAGAGTCTCGTCCTCGTGGGCCAAAACACGGCAGACTTCAGTGCTCTGCCTCATTAAACACATCTAATTCAGCTCATCAGCTAATTAGCAAGGCCTTCATTTACTGAATTCAGGGTGTTAGACAAGGTCAGACTCTAATCTCCGCAGCACTGCGGCCCAGAGGGAACCCAGTTTGACATGCCTGCCTTAAAACTTAATAAACAGTTATTGGCATAAAAAGAGAAAAAGTGTTAAGGAGGATCAAACATACACTTTTGCTCCCTCATTTTCTTTTCTAACTAGAAATTTACTTTTAGTGTAAATACTTTTGGGACCATGAGTTTAACAAAGTAACGGATTTTGTGTAATTTCATCAGCCTATACCAATAAAAATAATAATAATAATAATAATAATAATAATAATGTTTTTATTTATATAACACATTTCATTAGGTGAACGTATTTGTTTTTAACTGGATTCTTTCGAGCATTCCTAATATTCTCTAGAATGCTATTCCAGTGTTTAGGAGCGATATAAGAACTAAGCATTCAAATAAAATTACTAAATGGCAATTTCAGAAAAGTAGTCCACAAAAACGAAGCATATTAGTTCACAATGTTATTTTACTGTATCATTTTAAAGTAATTAACAGCCTAGCATATTGTAGCTTTTGCGACAAAAACTCTAAAATGATAACTTTACAGGAGAAAAACATTAAAAACATTCAGTGTAATTCACTGTAACAGTATTTTGGACAGTTTCTATTGTTGTGTTCAGCATGAATTTTTAACACAATGTAAAGAGCAGCTGGCAATTTCCAAGTATGTAAAAAAAAAGAAGAAATGGCAAACATGGAGCTACGAGGTTTGTTCTACTGATAACATCATAATTTAATTGGTTTTACTCATTTAATGTATTATAGGATTTATCTACAAAAATGCAAACATTGGATCAGCCTTGATATCTGAAGATACTTAATATTAAAGAACTTGGATTGAAGGCAGAAAATAAATCAGTGCCTCCCATCTGCTCCCACATAGGCAAGCTTTTTTATAACAAAACAATTTGGCACATTTGGCACATTTTAGAAACCATTGGGTGCGGTACATTTGGTCACTGTCTGTATGTATAACATCAGTAACATTGTTTGGTTCTTGTGTGTAAATGACACACCTGTGTATGTGATCTTCTCTTGTGTAGCTTCAGCAGGAACTGGAGGAATGTCGTTCTGAGCTGGAGCTCCTGAGGAAGCAGCTGGTCAGTGAGCGTGCTTCAGCGCGCAGTCTGGAGGCCATGCTGATCAGCACAAGGGAAAAAGAGCTGCAAAGACAGCTCAGCTCTCAGGAGAGACTGACTGAGATCCAGCTGCTCAGAGACAAGCTCACTGTGGCCGACAGCAAGGCGTGAGTATAAACACAAGTTCTCCAAGACTTTCACCACAGCCAACTGCAACTTAATAATATTGTGTAACTGTGGTCCATCCATAAATGTGTTCGTTTGTAGGAGGAAAAGTGGAGGGGCAATGAGCAACAATACACTTCTGATCAGGCATTATTTTATAATTCACTGTTGACCAAATAAAGATTTAAAAGCTCATGTTTGTAGCTACTGTTGCAAGGTACATGTAGTCTATGCAATATGGACAGAGCGCAGCTATTTTCACACTTCTGGATTGCGTGCAGCGGAACTCCTCATATTAGAGAAAACCTTACAGCAGTGGCAGCGTTTACAAAAGAGACTGTAAAGCACTTTTACATTTTAAACAAGGTTTTTAACTTATTTTTTCCAAAAAAATGACATCTATGTATTATTGTTATGCCCAAGAAAATATTAAAATTACTAAAAATGCTGAATGGTGTGCATTAAGCAGTGAAATAAAATGCACATTTTCATAATTGTATGACAAAAAGGTTCATGAAATGTGCATCTAGTGCTCTCATGCATCTGTGTTCATTCAGAACAATGTAAAAAAAATCCTCATTGGAAATGCAACATATAAAAATATAACATAATGTATAAAAATTCTGGTATATGAATCACAAAAGTAGTCAAATTCCCATTCCTAGTGATAAAATATGTTGAAAAATGATGCTATTCTCTGTGAGCGCTGTTTGTATAGTGCTATTTATAATCATTGTTGATTAAGGAGCTAATCCTTGACTTCTAAACTTGACTTCACTGCTCATAAACATACATGTCCAAACTCAAACAAAATATACTGTATACTGTACAAATTTGTCATCTCATGTTTTCAGCATGATATTTCAGTCATCTATAACCTGTAACCAGTCATCTAACTCATTCTGTTTCATAAAACAGTGCAGTTTTCTGTTTGCCTCATGTTGAGTTAAATTCTTGTTGAAAAAGTCTTGTTGAAATCATTTTTCTCGTCTTTATTTAATTGTATGACTTTAAAAAGACAAGTAACCCAAGAGTAATGGAAAGTAATCTGTTTCTTTTATGTGGTAATCCTTTGGATAAGACTATAGGTACGTTTATGAACCTGTGATCTGTAACAGAATACTTTTTTAAAGTAACCCTCTCTAGCCAAGTCAGGGCCCAACCAGTATAGCAGTAATTGTCTTAAAACCAAGAGGGTCCTGATGAATTTGACCCTGTCCAGTCTCCTCTTTTCTATTCTGTTGTTCTCAGGAGCACTCAGAGCAGAGAGATGGCTCAGTTGAGGACTCGATCAGCACAGCTGGAGGCTGACCTGGAGGCCACCAGGAGGCAGCTGTCCACTGAGCGCTTTGAGAGGTGAGAGAAGCACCTAAAGCTCATTATTCTACTCGTATTTAAGAACATCAGCTGTTATGGTCTGAATTTTGCTTTTGGCCATGTTTTCACTTAATACTTTACCCCCCAAAATACTGTTAGCTAAGTCGCTAATAATGGATTTTTAAAATTTCTGACTTATTATCATAGAAGCAAGTCTTATAGCAAGTTATTAAATTATGAGGAATTGAGGAGTTGAAGTAGTTGAAGTGTGAGCCGCACACAAGTACTTGTGGTTTAAGAAGTTCCTAATGAAAATAATGATATAATGAATAACAAACATGCTGAAATATTCATTTAGCACCTCACAAACTCAATGATTGGATTTCATTGTAAATCTTTAGGAAATGATGTGATGCATCATCAAATCTCAATTGATTTTAACAATGGCAAAAACAAAAGAACTTTATGTAAGAAATAAAACCCAGGAGAAAGTGTGGTTAAATGAGACTGGCATTGGTGTGATGATCTATGACTGCTGCACACTAGTGCCAGTCTCATGATATAGTAAGATCTCAAGTGTATAATTTCAATTTAACACAGATTTAAAAATGGCATTTAGGTTTTTTAGGCAATAATGACAGTAAAAGTGATTCACAAGAACGTTTATTTACATCTGCAACGAAAAATAGTTCCATTAAACAGTCTACATGCTGAGGGGCTATTGCTGGCTCACAGGTGAATAAGGTGAAGTGATGCACTCAGTGTCATAGAACACTTTCACAATTACAAAAAACTTATGGAAGTCCATTCACACCAGGTAGAGGAGAAAAAACTGGCTGTGTTTTATTTCGCTTTCTCTCTTTCTGGCAGCAGTATATCAAAATATTGACTTAGTATGTAAAAATATTGACTTATTGTCTTGAAATATTGACTCAGCCTATCAAAATATTGACTTAGTCCCTCAAACTGAGTACTTACTTTCTCAAAATATTGATGTACTATGTCAGAATAATGGCATATTTTCTCAAAATGTTGACTTACTATGTTGAAATAGTGACTTTCTTTGTCAGAATAATGACTTGGCAGCTCATAAAAATGACTTATTATCCTGAAACATTTCTTTACTTTCTGAAAACTTAATAACTAATGATTTTGACATAGTGTCTCAAAATCTCAGGAAAATCTATCAGATTATTCAGAGATATTAAGTCAGTATTTAAAGTGAATAGGTAATCGTTTCAAAATGCTAAGTCAATATTTTGAGCAAAGAAGTCCTTATTTTAAGATACCAAGTCAAACTGCTGGCACAAACAGAAGAAGAGAAAAAAACATGATTTTTTTGGTTTGTTTTTGTTTTTCACTTGGCAGGAATAGTCTTCCATTAAAACTTTACTGCTACAGTCAAACTGCAGTTTCTCATTAGGTTGAATGTCATCTTTGCCAATTAAAGCTTGTCCAACATCACAACAATTTACACCAACATTTCTCATATTTCTCATTCTCCTCCTTTCTCATTCTCTCATTCTCATTCTCTCTCTCTCTCTTTCTCTCTCTCTCTCTCTCTCTTTCTCTCTCTCTCTCTCTTTCTCTCTCAGGGAGCGTGCAGCACAGGAGTTGCGCAGGCTTGGCCTCTCCTCATCTTTGCGCTCTCCACTCCTCTCCTCCACTCTGCGCTCTTCTTCTCCCTCCCGCCGCTCCCTCAGTCCTCATACGTCCTGGTCCCCCCTCCAAACCTCACCAGACCACCTGCCACCTGAACGCTCGCCAGACAGATCCGCACAGCTTACACTACCATGAAAGCAATAGTTCAGCAAATCGTAAAAATCTTGTATTTGTAGTCTTTTAGCAAAGATGTTTGGTGTTCAGAGTTTTCATCTTTCTCACTGGAGCTGTGAGACTAATGTAGCTAACCAATCATAGACTTGCTCATGTGGTTTCTGAAAGTGCGTGACATACTGTCATACAAAACTACGTACATGAGCTCTATTTGAGCTGGATTAGTTTTATATGGGGAGGTGCTGTAATTTGAGTGATTACTGACAAGATCTGTGGTTTTAATCCAGTACAAATCTGCAGAGTAGGTTTTAGAAGTCTGCTAAATAATCATTTCAGAATTATTTACCTTCTGTAATTTGCTGAATCTGGAGCTCGGTCAGTAATAATAGTCCTGTTCTAATCAGCCTCACAGTAATGTAATAATAGAGTTTAACACAGTTTGAGGCAAGTGTATGATAATTTAGGAATGTAGTTTAAAGTGCTACATTAGCTTTAAAGCTCCAGCGCAAGCAAACTTGAGACCCCAAAGATGTCTGGGCCAATCGACTACGTCTGAGGTAAGGGGAAGATTGTGTAAATTGACTTTTCACCAAACGTTGTCTTTAAAAATCTTTTAGCCCACCTAGTTCACCTTCATACTGATAATCCGTGTACCATTTGGAGAGCTACATGCATTTTTTGGATAGCTACTAAATTAATTATACTATACAAAGACCAAAATCGTACGCTAATTCATAAATAAAAACTGCACTTTAAAAGGTCTCACTGGGCACATGCAGTTTTATATCTACGTAATAAACACCATGGTTCTCTTAAATGTTGATGTTTATAGTTTGCCTGTTATAGATCTATAACAATACATTATTTACCAATCTCTTTCTACAGAAGTGTAATGTTTAGAGATCTGTATGACTAAACAGAACTTGAAGGTGCTGGATTCTCTCCTTTCAAGACGCACATCAAATCTACTGTGACACCACTGGCCATCTGCTGTATTAAATAAATAATTGTAACTCTATTTGAAGTGTTATCACTCTGTCCTTGAGCCACTGAAACTATTTAATGATTGAAAAGATTGAAATGGAATGATTGAAAATTGTCTTGCTTGGATGGTGCTACACTTTTATACGTTTATTCTTTATATATTGTGGAATTTGCAATTTTAAGTCATTGTTTTCATGATTTTTTTTACTTATAGTTGACAGTATGATGTACTTTTGCATTTTATGTGCTTTTTATTGAATTAAAAAGTCAACACATTAATAAAATATGAAGTTGCAAGTCAAATTATCTACATTTCTTGGGAGCATGTTTGTGTAATATATGGAGAGTAGGGCTACAGAGTGCCCTTCAGAATTAGCCAACTGGCATCCCTGATAAAAAGGACCACTTAAACACCTATGACCACACATTTTCCAATAGTTCTAAAGTTAAGGAATGTAAAAATTGTTTATAAGAATTTTTATTTTTATTGTGTATTCAGTTATTTATTTATAGTAAAATGTATGGTAACACTCTTTGAGAGTCAGCTGTAGATGACTCCCTTGTTTTTAATGGACATTCAACTAAATCCCTTTTAAACTGAACTTTGCCCAGATTCTCAAAAGCAACTTGGTGTTAAGATCATCTTAAAGGGAAATGTGGATTTTTCAAAATTTCTACATAATGAAATGGTTAAGATGTAAACAAGGTCATTCAGAGTGTTTTGGTCTGAAATGCTCCTTTCTAGAGAAATGTACAAAGTGAGAATGTTCAAAGTGGTGGTGTTGGAAGCCAGACATCACAGAAAGCTATTACAAGAAATCTTTATGAATATGCTACCTGATGCTCAAAACACTGTTTTACAACTGTTTTGAGATAAAATTTAGATTTTTTTTTTTTCCATTCATGGCAGAGTGATACATGCAGGGTGATGTGAGGCAAAACAGTCCCCAAATAAATGATTTTTTTCAGATTTACCACTGTTTTACTACTGTGAACATTCCATATAAGCACTAAAATGGCTATATTTGTGTTGTAGACATCACAAACCCTGGGTACTGTCACCACCACTGTAAGTTTCTCTACAGTGTACCATTTCATATCGGATCCCTTTGAACGACTTTGTTCACTATTGGGAAACATTTCTCTTTAACTAGGAGAGAGCGTGTTCAGTGTGATGCTCGCTCTACCATTTATAAATAGCCTAATCTTTGTGCTAAGGTGCCCTGCCGTGAACTTTAGGTAGAATGTAATAGATTCTGTATATAAATGTAATTGTAGATAAATAGATTAATTTAATCCTGAACCTAAAGCCAACTCTAACCTTAACTTCAACCCAAAACCTGAACATAATCCTAAAGAATAATAGTTTCATAGTATCAGGCAGTTTGTCAACAATCAGCCTCTGTGGATAGTCCTTTAAGTACTTTGAGGACTCACTTAAAGGTCTCCTCTGAGATGTTTTTACAGCCGTTATGTTCACAGCTCATCTCATAACAACGGTGGAGAACAGCACACCTGACAACTGTTGTTGTGGAGGGCGGGGCTATGTGACGTTTCAAGGCGCCGGTTTTTGACCAACGATCATTCAGAGTTCGTGAGGGGGCGTGGCGCTGTGGCGCGCGGCAGAGACAGCAGGACAGTGTCCTCGCGCGCCTGCTCATTACTAACGGCTGAGCGGAGGAGTGTTCAGCTGCTCAGGTAAGAACGGCTGATCTTCACTCATTTATCTGACAGAGCTTTCATTTCACAGTTCATATCTGTTAACGGAGACGACGATATACTCACGACGATATACGTTCGCGTTGTTGACTGGGGAAACTGTTTGCGCACTTTAGTTCAAACGACGACATCTCAGCGCTGAAACCCCATATCAGCTTCTGTTGAAGGACCAAACTAGCAGCGTCGTCCATGGGGATCTCCGGCCGGAGCCTCGGCTCAGCTATAAAGGCTGTTCTCTGCACTTACAGGAGGTTTTCTACTTACACTGGAAAACAGTGCACTAAACAGTAGGGCTGTTTGATTATGGCAAAAATCATAATCGCGATATTTTTTGGTCTGTATTGAGATGACGATTATTTAACACGATTAGTCATTGACTTTGGAAACATCATGCATTTGTTGAACTTTTAAAAAATATATATATTTTTAACAGTGGATTTACTTGAACATTATAATTCAACTGGAAAATAAATTAAAAATGTATTAAAAAAGAATATGATATAATAAATAAAAATAAATAAGATCATCTATGAGTGCACGTTCAAAACCAAATGAAAACTACTAAACATATAAAGAAAAGAACTAAAATAAATTAGACCAAATAAATCAGACGAGTTTGGGCTTTTAGGGAGGGGCAAAAGCGCACCGCTATAAAACAAAGGGGTGTGCTGGATTTATAATACAAGACAAAATGAGACCATACGGCACAGTTATCGTTTTAATGTATACATAAAAACTCAGATACTAAACTTTGATACTACATTAAAGACGTAAACTCAGATATTAAAAATAAACTTAGATACTACACTAAAGACGCAAACTCAGATACCGGATTAAATACGTAAACTCAGATACCACATTAAAGACATAAACTCAGATACCGCATTAAAGACATAAAGTCAGATATCGCATTAAAGACGTAAACTCAGATACCACATTAAAGACGTAAACTCAGATGCCGCGTTAAAGACGTTAACTCAGATGCCGCGTTAAAGACGTAAACTCAGATGCCGCGTTAAAGACGTAAAATCAGATACCGCATTAAAGACGTAAACTCAGATGCCGCATTAAAGATGTAAACTCAGATGCCGCGTTAAAGACGTAAAATCAGATACCACATTAAAGACGTAAACTCAGATACTGTATTAATGAAAGTTATATACTTAGATAATATACTAAAAGGCATTTTTTCAGATACTATATTAAATATTTCAACTTAGTGTATGAAAAAGCACAATTTCAGATACTGTATTGAATATTTAAACTCAGATGCTATACTGAAAAGCAAACGTTTAGATACTATGTTACGTATATTACAGGTACTACATAGCATAAATTCAAATCCTATATTTAATATTAAAACTAAGATGCTGTGGTAAAAAGCATAAATTCAGATACTGTGCATAAACTTGGATACTTGCTGAAAAAGCTTTATATCAGATACTCTGCTTAAAAAGTTAACGTGGACACAAAAAATACTGTGCTCAGAGCTTGTATGTATTAGGGCTGTACTTCTTTTCCTGAGACAAAGATAAAAGTGCACTCATTGAAAAAACTGCTGTGAGGATGAAGGAGACTTGCATCTGGGAAGATGAAAAAGCAGCTCAAAGCAGGGCTTATCTGTGTTATTTCCTATGGAGACGTCTTTAATTTTGAACCTTTAAATCACAGATGGAAGACAATTATCTTGCATCTTGTACTTCACTGCTTTGCATGTTAGTTTGTAAGTAATATGAAACGTAAGAATGAGTTTTCTGCAATGGTCCAATGGTGATTGACTATTAAAAATCTATTGGTCCAATGGTGATTGCAATGGTCTAATGGTGATTGACTATTAAAAAAATGAGTCAAGCCTTAGGTTAAATTGCCTAATTAAATCAAAATATATTTAAAAAAAAACAGATTCTGTCTGTTCCAACAAAAATATTTTTTTCCCTTTATTCAAAGTGAGAAAGAGAGAGAGATGTGGATAAACAAATCACTTTACTGAGTTGATGATGTAAATGCAAACATGGCTCACAGCTGGGCCGTGGCAGCGCCTCTTAAAACACAGTGTGGGTTTGTGTGAGATGCACTGCCTTCAGACATTATTTAGGATGACGTGAATAGAAATATATGAGAAGTAGTGCACAGCCTGTTTTCAGCAAGTTGTACTAATTTTATATACATTTATGTGTAGATTTCCTCATTCAGCTCAAGCTAGCCTCTTAAAGTGCAGCGGCCCATTTGTGGATTATGTGAATTCCTTACTCTCATAACTACAAAACCTGAATAATTTATATTAGTTACTGAATAATAACTAATAATAATAAGCCCGTCGGTTAATGTGTTAAAGACCAGAGCAGGCGTTGTGACAGACACAGATTACACCTAGACTCGGGTTCTTTTACATTATCACAGCGCGTGATTAAGTTTTATCTGTGTCCAGCAAATCGTCCGCAAAATTTGACTGTGGCTTTGCCATTCAAAGTAGCCAAAGTCCTGGACATTGACCCCTTCTCCGAAAGCTCTGTACGGAGATTGCTCCGGAGAGACAGTGGTTGGAAGCAGCTTTGATTCTGTATGCAGTCGAAACAGAACAGAGTTGATGTGGAAGATAAGGGGACGTGGGAAGAGCTCATCTGAGAACAAGGCCACCTTCAGATGCTAAAAAAACAGTCTCGAAAAGATCAGGGAATGGTTTGAGTTATATAAATAATAACGAGTCATATAAATAATTGTGATTAACAATTTAATTGTCTTTTCTTGTTCATTGTTTGCATATTAATATACAATAGACATTCTATTAGCATGCATGCTAAAAACACTTGATAAACAAACATTACTCAGCACTGTCCTCTAAACATGTTAAAGCACAAAGTTCGAAGTTGTTTCATAGGTTCCTTGATGTCCCAATGAATGCATTTACTGCTTTGTTTTATTCCTGTGTATTTGCCTCAACCCAACACACCCAATTCACATTCTGTTTGTTGCAGCGTAATGTGACACCAAAATCTAGCAACTGTGAAAAATGGTTGCAGTCAGCTTAAATAAATGCAATCATCTCAAATAATTACAATTTAGTGATTATGTAACTACTGTGACAGGCCTGTTTTCCATTTTTAACAATGACTGAAACTTTATTAGACTGCAGCTCCTATTCACAGTCACTGACATATCTAGGAGTTCCAGAAGGCCGCTTGCTTTTTCCCACAAAATTGGTCCCACCTATTGTAAACGCGATCAGTTGATTCCACTCTCAATTCCTAATTGTACTGGTGGTTAATCTGATGTGTAAGAAGTTCTGTCCAGCTCCTGACTGTCCAGCTCCTAACCAATGGAAGAGCATCACTCTAGATACCACAGGGAGAAAAAATTGCTAGGACACTTTTTCCATTGTGTGTTTCAAGATTTTAACCCTTAGTTTCCAACCAAAGTTTTTACAAAGCTGAAAAGAAATATCTTCATTTAGAGTATTAATGTGTTTGGGTATTTAGCTATTATAGATACAGGGATTTCCTAGAGGTTTACTCTTAATTATAGTGTCTGAGTTTTTACTGCTTTTTCAAATTAATAAAATGTTAAACTATATATCTATTTAGATATTCAGCTATTTAATCAACAATGAGCTGTGCACTACAGTTTATCATGAGCTGTTTGCCAAGCTTGTCCAACTTGGTAATGTTAGCTACAAAAGAAAGTAACTAACTCAAAGCATAGAGCAGGGCTAGACTGGCCTAAAGACTGTCCTAATCTAACGCAGACTAAACCCTTAGATTAAGCATGTTTACATGACAAACATCATGTGTTTGAAGAGTGCAGTTGCGGTGATGTGTGTTTGAATGCTGTTATGAGCCGGAGTCTTATTGTCCTGAAGCCTGCAGCACCTCGCCCAGTTAGATTCAGGTTTAAAGGCTGTGAACTGTGTGTTTGAACAGGTAGTACTGTTGGTCCTTATGCAAGACAGTCTCAATTGAGTCAGGCCAATATCTTTAATATAGTCTGCTGTGAGTATTGAATGTGTACATTTGTTCATGTTTATTGGACTTATTATAGGATTAGGAAGTACATTCTGTTCTATGTATATGTGGCAGAGGATCCTGTGAAAGATTGTGTTAAGGCAGAAGGCAAACATACTTTGACTACATTGTACATTGCTCTGTATTTGAGGCATTTAGGTTCATCAAGTGTGGCTGCACTCATTTTTTAATGTTTTTTCTCATGGCCTTATTGTTTTCTATGAGGGTTATTTACACAGTACAGAATCAGATACTCCAGCTTTATCTTCGTTACAGTTCATTATTTGGTAGTTTCATCCAAAAATGTGGGTGTTTCCAATCAGAATTGTTGTTAAAGTGAAATGCCTACTAATATTACAAATCAAATTTTCTATCTGAAATCAAAATTCTGTCTGAAAATTAAATGTGTGTTTACTATGTTTACTAATGTGTGAACATGCGCATTTGTTGGTGTGTCATTGCAAATGACATTAACAAACTACATACCTGAGTACACGTGCCAGTACATTTTATATTGCAGTTATTTATTGATTTAAGCTTAGAATTCTGTATAAGCCCAGTAGGACAAATATACATAGTTATATTTTAATTTTATAGAAAAAAATACATTAGACGAAAAACTTCTCAAAATACATTTACATATATAATATATAGCTAAAAAGAGTTTACATTTCCAAATAGTATTTTAGAGCATAGGTCATTTCAGCTTTTGTGGTGAAGGCATTCCAAGTACTAGTTGCTCAACCTTAAGTTAAACACGGATGTTCTTTAAAGAAGAAGCCGGAAGGATAGGTAAAGTCATCATTATCAGGCTTATTTAATGACAGGAGTGCTGTGTTTGTTACTGAGGGAGGGAGAGAGCTGACTGAGACAAACTGTAGATAATAACTATCCAAAGGTCGTTTAGCAAGAAGTCTGAGGATCGCTGAGGTACAGTGCATGTGTCTGTAAAAATGCTGTTAATGATCGAGCCGGCCTAAT